CGACGACGACGACAACGACGACGACGACGACACCGACGACGACGACGACGCCGACGCCGACGACGACGACAATGACGACAACGACGCCGACGATGACGACAACGACGCCGACGACGACGACGTCGACGCCGCCGCCGCCGCCGACGACGACGACGACGACGACGACGGCGTTGACGACGACAACGCCGACGTCGACGACGACGATGACTTTGACGCCGAGGCCGACGCCGACGCTGACGACGACGACGACGACGTCGCCAACGAAGACGACGACGACGAGCGAGGAGGGAACACGACGACGGCGACAACGACGACAACGACGAGGGAGGAGGGAGGACGGCGACGACGCGAACGACAAAGAAAGAGGGAGGACGGCGACGCCGACGACGACAACGACGAGGGAGGAGGGAAGACGACGACGACGACGACGACGGCGACGAAATAGGAGGGACGACGACGAGACGCCGACGACGGACGACGACGACGACGACGACGACGAGGGAAGAGGAGGAAGGACGACCACGGAGACAACGACGACGGAAACGACCACGACGCCAAAGAGGACGATGACGACGAACACGAGGAAAGACAGAGGACGACGCAGGCGACGACGACGACGACGACGACGACGACGACGACGACGGCGGGAGGAGGGAGGACGGCGACGACGACGACGACGACGACGACGCAAGAGCGCGCGCGCACGTTTTTGTTGAAAACCCGTGTTGCGAGACTTGGTGCTTTTTTGTAGGGTTGTTGGGCACGTTTTTAAAACCCTTCCGAAACCGATAGGTTTTGAAGGATTTCGGCATACGCGCGCGACGACGCGCGCGTTTGCTCTTCGTCCCATTTGTTCTGAGGGTTCTCGCGACGGCACTTGCGCAAGCGTTCGACAGATTTCGACATGCGCGCGCGAAGCCCGTTTGGTAGCATTTTGTGAAAATATTGAAAAAAACAGCTTGGCTTTCTTAAAGGCTGCGCAAGAGCGCGCGCGGAAGCTTTTTTGCGCAAGTCAGTGTTGCGAAACTCTGCTTTCTTCCGGGCACCGAACACGTTTGAAGGAGTTCGGCATGCGCGCACGACGCGTGCGTGTGCACTTCGTTCAATTTTTGCGCAAGGAATTTGTGAACAAAAAAGCTTTATGTTAGAATAATGTCCCCGCGTATCGTTTTTTTTTTTACACGGGAACCTCAGGGGGGTCGATACCAGCCCCTCTGGGATAGTGTAAATTCATGGTTCGGATGGGCATGTGGTCAGAATCATATTTGATTAGCGTACCCGAAAAGGGTACGGATAACGCGGGGGGGTCAGAGCCTATTCTCTTCATAGGGCGGAGCATCGATTGCAACAAACGAGTTGGCACATCCCGTGCCCTTGCAAACATCCCACCCACCCACCCGCAACTTGGTTTGCAATACCAACTGGGTGGCGATAGGGGGGCATGCTCGGTGTTGGCTGGTGTGTTTCTGCGGCCACGCCAACCCAAGCACGCGCGCGCAGCGGCCAGCTGGTTTGGCACGACCGACGCGCCGCGGTGGCGCTGATCGCTGGGCACAGACCAGCGGACATTTCATTGCGAGTCGTCGACTTGTGCGGGCGCGGTATCATGGCAACGTCGACAACGGTGGACTCTGCGGGCGAGTTTCCAACGACTTCGACGACGACGACAACGATGCCGACAACGATGACGACGTCGACGACGACGACGATTACAACGCCGATGACGATTACAACGCCGACGAGGGCGACGCCCCCAACGACGGCGCCGACGACGACGACCCCGACGACGACGACGACGTTGACGACCACGGCGACGACGAAGACGACGACGTCGCCAACGAACACGACGACGACGACGAGGGAGGAGGGATGATGACGACGGCGAGGACGACAACGACGGAGGAGGAGCAAAGACGACTACGTCGACGGCGAAGAAATAGGAGGGACAACGCCGAAACGCTGACGAAGACGACGAGGGAGGAAGGACGACCACGGCGACAGCGACGACGGAAACGACGACGAAGCCAAGACGACGACGACGACGACGACGACGACGACGACGACGGCGAGGAAAGACACACGACGACGACGACGACGAGGGAGGAGGGGGGACGGCGACCACGACGACGCAATAGCGCGCGCGCGCGCGTTTTTGTTAAACATCCATGTTGCGAAACCTTGTGTCTTTGTATGGTTTTTGGACACGATTTTGAAACCCTTCCGAAGGCAAAGGTTTTTGACAGGTTTCGGCTTGCTCGCGCGACGACGCGCGCGTCTGCTCTTCGTCTTACTTGTTCCGTGGATTCTCGCGACGGCACACGCGCAAGGGCGCTCGACCGATTTCGACATGCGTGCGCGCGAAGCCCGATTGGTAGCATTCTTTCCAAATCTGGGAAAACCTATGGTGTTTGTAAGATTTCGCAGGAGCGCGCGCGTAAGTTTTTTTAGACAATCCGGGTTGCGAAACCCAGAGTTTTTATTTTATGTTGGGGGAAGTCGATTTTGAAATCCTTCCAGCACCGGAGGTGTTTGAAGGAGTTCGGCCTGCGCGCGCAACGACGCGCGCGTGTGCATTGTGTCCCTTTTGTTTTGCAACGGATTCTTAAGAACTTATGAATTTTGACAAACGAGAGCGCACGCATAGCATTTTTTGCAGAGGATGGCGGGGGGGGGCGATACCTGTTCGGCTGTGATAGTACGAATTCATACATAAATATATATATATATATATACATATATATTTATATATACATATATATATATATAGGATGTGCGATGACCCAGGATCATCTGTAAATTGCAATACGAAAAGGGTGGCCCGTTTACTCCGGGGGGGGGTCGAGTCTATTTTTTGTGAAGAAACAAGAATAGGTGTGGTGCAAAATGGTTTTAACAAACGAGTTAACACATCCCGTGCTCTTGCAAACATCCCACCCACCCACCCGCAATTTGATTTGCAAAACCCATCAGGTGGCGATTGCGATGCATGTTCGGCGTTGGCTGGTGCGTCTCCGCGGCCGCGCCAACCCATACATGCGCGCGCAGCGGCCAGCTGGTTTGGCGCGACCGACGCGGCCCCGGTGGCGCTGATCGTTGGGCACATACCAGCGTGCACTTCATTGCGAGTCGGCAACTTGTGCGGGCGCGGTATCATGGCAACGTTGGCAATGGTAGACGTTGCGGGCGAGTTTCCCAGGACTTCGTCGACGACAACTGCGACGACGACGCCGACGACGACGACGACGACGCCGACGTTGACGACGACGACGACGATGACAACGCCGACGACGACGACGGCGACGAAGTCGGAGGGACAACGGCGAAACGCCGACGAAACCGATGAGGGATGAAGGACGACCACGGCGACAACGACGACGGAAACGACGACGACCCCAAAACGACGACGACGACGACGAGGAAAGACAGAGGACGACGATGGCGACGACAATGACGACGAGGGAGGAGGGATGACGACGACGGCGACGACGACATCGACGACGCAAGAGCGCGCGCGCACGCTTTTGCTGAAAATTTCTGGTGCGAAACCTTGTGTTTGTTTATTTTTCTGTTTTGATACACGATTTGGCAATCCTTCCGAAACCGAGAGTTGTTGAAGGATTTCGGCATGCGCGCGCGACGGCGCGCGCGCCTGCACTTTAATTTGTCGCATTGCTTGCAGAGGATTCTCGCGACGGCACGCGCGCAAGGGCGCTCGAATGATTTTGACACGCGCGCGCGCGCGAAACCCGTTTGGTAGCATTTCCTTGTGAAAATATTGACAAACACGCATGGGCTTCGTACGATTTCGCAGGGGCGCGCGCGTAAACTTTTTCAATGCAATCCGTGTTGCGAAACCCTGAGGTTTTGCATGTTGCTTGGAAGCTCGATTTTGAAATCGCTCCGGCACCACAGGTTCTTGACGGATTTCGGCATGCGCGCGCGACGACGCGCGCGCATGCAGTTCGTCATATCTGTTTCAAGGGATCTTTGGACATTTATGATTTTTTGATAAACGAGTGCGCGCGCATAGTGTTTTTTGCAAGGGGGGGGCGGGGGGGGGGGGGCGATACTTGTCCGGCTGTGATAGTACGAATTCATATATACAGGACGGACGATGGGGCAGAACCGTATGCCAATTGCAATACGAAAAGATGACCCGTGAACTCCGGGGCGGGGGGGGGTAGAGCCTATTCTTCTTGTATAAATGAAAATTAACGACAGCGACGGCGGCGACGGGTGGCACCGCCCGCAAAAGCCGCCACTCGCCCCGAGCGGCGGCGACGGCGACGGCGACGGCAACGACAGGCGGCACGGCGACGAAAACGTGACCTTGGCCCCCAGATGGTTAAGACAAGTGCGAACCCTTCAGTGCAAGCTCTGTGTGGGGAAGTAAAAATAAAGTAAGGTCAGGTAGTATAAATCAATGGAATGTGCTTAATTGAGATACAACGTAATGGGAAATGACGCGCGTAAGGTAAAGTAAGGCAAAACTAATTAAAAGGAAGGCATACGAAAGCACAACGCAGCAAATTAAAGCAACGTAAATTGAAGTAGCGCAGCATGAAGTCAATGAATATGAGGACATGTAAGGTAAGGTAAAGAAGAGTAGCGTAGAGCAGAGGGAAATACAGTAAAGCAGCACTAGGGAAGGAAAGGTAAGGTTAGGTAAATTAAATTTGCGTCGAGTAAGTCAAAGCAAAGCAAGGCGACGACGGTGCGGCGACGGCGGCAGCGACGGGCGGCACTGACGGCGACGGCCGGCCATGGTCCCGAGACGAGCGGCGGCGACGGACGGCGACGGGCGGCACCGCCCGCAAAAGCGGCCCTGGTCCCGAGATGGTGAAGAGAAGTAATAACTAACCCTTAGGTGCAGACACTGTTTGGGGAATTTGGCCAGGCATATCGTAGAACCTGGACTGTAAAAGCAGCCCCCCCTTGGTTTGAAGGAGCGTCTGGGAACGACCTGACTTGGCGTGGTGTACAAATATGGGTTTCCGATAATGGGAAGGCCTTTGAGCACGTATGTGGTCGGCGCATTTGTCTTGTCCGCGTTGGAGATTTATTGCTGCTTCATTCCGAAAGACGACTGCGACTTCGACCCCGAAAAGGAAGCGATTGTAACTCATTCGATGTGGTTGAGTATACAAATTGGTTTCGCCGTGTTGAATTTGATTTTCGCACCATACATGCAAGCGAAAGTGTGGAAGACATTGATGCAAGAGATCAAGGAAAAGCCGCAGTATGCTGCTTCAGGGAAACAGGTGGTTCCGAAGGCCGAAGTCCAGGATGCGTTTAAGAAAGTCTTCTGCGAAGACTTCGGCGTGCTGTTTTACTTCTTCGCGTCTATCATGTCTCTTGTTTGGTGCTACAAGGGAATGTACAAGTGGGGCGACGACCTCGAGCCTGACTGCAGCCTCGTCGCTGCGGCGAGCCTGGGCCAGGCCCTCGTCGCGCTGGCGTTCGTATACACTTTCTGCTGGTACTGCTGTCCCTGCTGCGCGAAGGCCATCGAGCTGGAACAGCAGGCCGACCACCACTACGACCGCGTCAGGACCGGCGAGGGCGACAGCGACTGAGCGCCCTGCGCCCCCGGGCCGGGGCCGCGCGGGGCGAGCCGCTCCCAGGGGGACTGGCCACACGCCAGCAGAGTGGGCCTGCAGCCGCTCGGCGAGGCGCGGGGCCGAGGCGACATGCCCGGCGGAGACGGGCCTGGCTGCGGCGGCCGCAAAGCACGGCACTGGTCGAGGTGGGATCGCGACGTCATGCGCTTCCTTCGTCTCGCGCGCCGTGCTCGGCCCGAGAAAGAGGCGCTCCCAGCTGCCATGCTGGGGGGTCACCTGAGCATCTGGGTCCCCGGGGCCGGGTTGGGGGGGGCCTGTCCGTGGGGGGCATCTTGGGCCCCCTGCGGGGATGCTGGGGCTGCTCGAGGCAATCATTGGGCCCTCTGGGTGCCGTGGCCGAGCCTAGTATGGGATTCTCAGCCTTGTTGGGCGATTTTGGACGATCTCGGGGGCATCTTGAGGCCTCTGAGGGTCCCACTGGGGCAACACTCGGGCGTGCTAGAGGCAGTCTTTGGGCCATGGTGGGTCTTTCTGGGAGCAACCAACCAACTGGAAGAGAAGCAGTTGTATGAGATCAATCTACAAATAGTGGCATTGATTTCGATATGGATCAAGAGACCAATTAATAGTGACAGTGTCCGAGGGTGAGATCAACAGTGGGATCGACACACAGATGTTCATGCGGTGTCCAAATGGTGTCCCGATGGTGTCCATCATGCATCGTCGCCAGCATCGTCATCATGCATCATAATTTGCCTGCGAGCGCATCACTGGCATCGACACCATCGCAGCTGCCAGTTGGCTCTCCCCCATACAATGTTTGTATTACCCGAAGGGTGATCGCAAGGACATATCGTATGTGTAGCTATTGGCATTCGGCCCCTTACACCACCGTGCCTGGGTTGTTGATCGGAAGCCTCTTGGTTACAAACCAGAATCTTTGCGGATGCCTTTAACGGGGCTCTTGGAGGGCTTTTGGAGGCCTCCTGGGGGCTCCCTGGGGCTCTTGGGCTATCTTGAAAAAGCCATTGGTACCTTGAGCAATTCGGCATCGCTGCGTTGAATTACTCAAGGTGTCAGTTTCTGTCAAATGAGTGTGATGTTCGTGCGTATTGGGACGCGCCCATGTGGCGCGATCTTCTTGCCTAGCCAAGGTGGCGGGTGCGCGATGATTGTTGATTGTTAGCGACATGCGCGCGTGAGGCCCGCATGGCCTCATTGGCCAGACGTGAAGGAACATCATGACACTGCTGCCTCTAGATGTTGCAGACGATGCGCGCGCAGCCCTTGTGTTGCTTTAGCTACACCTCTATACATGTATACACATACATATAAACATGCATTATACATATATATATATATAGATAGAGAGAAAGAGAGAGAGAGAGAGAGAGATCAGTGTAGGGACACATTGCTCAGCGTTAGTTGGAAACCAATGGCTTTGGATGGAATTCGACATGTGGGCGCATGTTGCGCCCGCATGCCATCATCCCATTGGTTCTCTTACAACACGCACTCGTTAGATCAACGCGTGTACCCCGCACTGTTTAATAGGATGTGGGCGCTTAAGTCAAGCCTCGGCATTGGTCTGCTCGTGTCTTGGGAGAGAGTTGGGGGGGGTGCGATGTATGTGGAGCAGCGTGTGTGAAAGCAACCCACGCCACGAGGCGGCTGCGGAAACTTGGACACTTCAGTAGCGAGCGGGGCGGGCTTCCACGAGGCGGCGCTGGGCGACCACCGGGGGAAAGTCTGGAACGTCCCGTCAGCGACGAGCGCAGCCGCGATGCGGCCTTCGAAAGACCACGGGGGCGGAACCCTGGAGGACCCAGCGCGCGAACGCGGCGGCCTCGAGGCGGCGACGGTCTGCCACGGGCCGCGCCACCAGGCGAGCGCCTGGGAAACCCAGACGGCGAGCGGGGCGGCGACGAGGCGGCCGCTGGGCGAGCACCCGGAAGGCACAGTCGGGGAGCAGGGCGGCCGCGGGCGGCCACCAGGCGGAGCCCGGGGCAAAACCCGGGCAGGCAACGGGGCGGCCCCGAGGCGGCGGCCAGCGGCCACCGGCCGAGGGCCCAGAGCACCCAGTCGGCGGACGGAGCAGCGTCGAGGCTGAGCTGGCACACGCGTGTGCACGGCACTCATGCGTTTACAGTGGCAGCCCATGCCAAGGAAACACCCTCCCTGCCTCCAGGGTTGCCCTGGGTGGCTTGGGTTTCTTGGGTGTCGATGGTCCTACGATGGAAAGCGTGAGGTTCCCGCACCAAGCATCATTGGACGTCCTGCGGTTCCAGGGTTCGGTTTCTCGTGGAAGTTTCCTGTGGTCAAGCTCCGACTGTATGTGTATTTGAATGCGCATCTAATGGCCTTCAGCCCATCCCGCCCCCGTGTCTGGGTTGCGGGTCAGCTTTCTCAGGGATGTTTCTTCGGGTCTCTTCGGAACGCGCTCGGGGGCCTCTTGGGAGCCGTCTGTGGGCCTCTTGGGGGCCTCTTGGGGCCTCTTGGGGCGGGGCCTCTTGGGGCCTCTTGGGAGCATCTTGGGGCCTCGTGGGGGCCTCTGGGGGGCTCTGCCGGCCTCCTGGGGGTCCCTCGGGGCCGAGGCCCCGAAGTGTCCGTTCGTGCTCCCCGTTTGGACACCCTCTTGGGACCGTCTTTGGGCCCTCCTGGGCGTCTTCGGCTCCTTTTGCGGCGTCTTGGGGCCCTCTTGGGCTGTCTTGGGGCCCTCTTGATTGCCTCGTGGGCTGTCTTGGAGCGTCGGGGAACCGAAAGCCGCGAACGCTCGAATCCTTCAAACACTTCCAGAGAATGGATGAACTTGTGGGTCTTGGGGCCCTCTCGGGAGGCTTCTTGGGGGCCTCTGGGGGTGTCTTGGAGGCGTCTTGAGGCCGTCTTGGGCGTCTTGGACAGCTCTTCGGCCGTCTCGGGGACCCTCCTGGGGCCTTTGGGGGGGCCCCTCTGCGCGTATGTTTGGGCCCTGTCGGGCGCCCAGAGGCCCACGCGACGCACCCCAGCAACGCCCAGGGAGGCTCGGCGGCGCCTGGGAAACCAGGGGTCGGGATCCCTTCAAGAACCTTTGAACCTTGGAGCTTTTTAGGGCTGCAGGCGCCTTGGGGCGCTCCAGTGCGTGCTGAAGGCAGGGTGGCGGACATTCAACCGCAGAGTGTGAATGGAACCCGTGTAATACCCTCATATGTACTCCTTATCCTTACCTCTCCTGCGCCTGGCCGTTTGGGCTCAGGTATTGAGATAGATCGATCAGACTTTGATCGTGCGGGAGGGAAAGATATCCATCTATCCCTCCTTCTCTTTACCAACGGATCAGGGGTTCTGTACCCTTGTACTTCAACCCCATACACAGGTTCTCATCCCCTTTAAAGCTCACCCTCACCGACTCGCCCGCGGTGACCTCGCATGCGAGCCTGATGGAGCCACTTCGGCGCATGCGCCGCAAGGGTTCCATCGGGGCTTCGCGTCCGAGCTCTCCCACGGCACGACGGCTCGGTGACGAGTTGGAGAGCATTAGTGCGGACTGTGTTGGTGTTCCTGATACCCCCCCCCAGCTCCGAAGGACCCGAGGCGCGACTAGCTGCTGAACTTCACCGCAGCGCCGCCCGCGGGGGGACAGGAGAAGGAGTAGGAACAGGAAGGAAGGAGTTTCACACGCCGACCTTCGATCCTCCCTCCCCTTCCCCGTCGGGAGCAATCCCAACCGCGTCAGGCGAAAGCCTTACTGGTCTCGATACTCCAGGGCGCTTTCGCGCTAACCGCCGATGGACCTCAGGCGCTGGGACCCCCAGCCCTGCGACCGTCCCTGTGGCGGAGCACGTAGCCACCTTCGAGGAACTCAGTAGACCAGTGTCGGCACAGCCACAGACGCGGTACCCCAAGGTATCATCGGATGCGACACCACACACACATGGTCCGAGTCGCAGCTCGTCCGCGCGCAACCGCCGTGGAGCCCCAGGCCCACGCGGCGAAAATAGGTCGAGCCCGCGCGCTGCCTCTCAGAGGCCATGTACTCCCCGCGACAGGGGACACAGGGAAGCTGACGCTCCCCACCTCTCCATCTCAGACGACCAGCTGGCGGAGACGTCCGCCGCGGGTGACATAGCTGAGCTCAGAGACCAGGTTGAAACCTTCGTGTCCAGGCAATACTCTGGACTACTACAGAGCGTTCAGACGAACGCCACCGATACTGCAGCCATGCGCCGCGATCTTGACGGCGCCTTAGGGATCATCGATTCCAGGATCGCCGAAGATCGACGCATCATAGGAGAACTGCAGTACCAGGTTGATCGTGAGGTGTCACACTCAGGTGAACGAGCGGCGATGGTCGAGAACCTGCGCAATTATCTCGCGCAGATGGAGCAACAGCTTGTGCTCGTACGCGACACAGGCGTTTCCGCAGTCAGGATTTTACATGATGAGATCCACGACCAGCTCCGCAACCGACCAACTCCAACCGGGGCCACTGACCTTGGCGACGTTCAGTCTCAGATCAATGATCTTCGATCTTATCTAGACCACACTACGGCGACGCTTCGTACCGAAGCACACGCCAACTCGTCGAACCTGATCGACATGTTGCAGCGTACTGAGAGAGTCATCACTCAAAGGCTTGATGCGACCAACGCTGTCGTGCAGCCACTCGCTAACCGGATCTCTGACATAGAGCAGCGTTTTCCTGGTGTACAGGACGCCCTGGCAGAGTTGCGTGTCGGACGAGCCCAGACTGATCAGCTGGATTCTCCTCCCACGGTTTACGATTTCGCCCGCCTCGCTGACAGGTTGCAGGAGGTTCAGAAGGCGGCGGACCACGCGCAGTTGGAGCTCTCCCAGGTTATTCATGAAAGAGATACTGAGAAGGTACGTGTAGAGAGTTACCTCGCACGTCTGGAAAGCGAGATGGAGGCACAAAGCGCCCGTATCCGAGCATGCGAGCATCGACTTGATCGGTATTCACAACGTTCTCGGGATACTGATGAGTATACACGCCAAAAGGCGGGTCACATACAAGAAGA